TTCTCTGCCTTAGCCTCCCAAGTAGCTGGGACTACAGGCGCCCACCACCACACCCAGCTAACTTTTGTCATTGTAGTAGAGATGGGGTTTTGCCATGTTGGCCAGGCTGGTCTCGAACTCCTGACCTCAGGTGATCTGCCCACTTCGGCCTCTCAGAGTACTGGAATTACAGATATGAGGCACCACGCCCGGCCCTGGCTACAATTTTACAATACATACTTATATCAATTTTAGGGGGCTTTGGTTTGATAGATTGAGAAAAGAATTGATTTATAAAAATTGACAAAATTCATGGATGTTAAGTATAATTTAGAGGTTAGAAACAAAATTTAAAAAGGTTAACAGGCTATATTTAAAATCTACATATTTCTGAAAAGAACAATTTACAGCCATGTGCAAATTAAATTTTTTTCAAATTAGAAACTAAATTGTGACAGCATAATGTTAACCTTTTTGCATTTACTAATTTTTTTTTTTAAATTGTAGTTTCAGTCTGATGGAAGCAAACAAGAAGATAAAGAAAAAACGGTAAGAGATTAGAAAAATCCAATAATGTGTCTAATGTTAGTCTTGGTACAGTATACTACAAGTTTTACTGTCAACAAGCTTTAATTATCTGTATGAGCAATTGTTTTATACCGTAGATGCTGATTATAGCTTTTGGCAGCTTATGCAAAGTTATCTTTTGAGATTAATCTTTCTTTTCCCTGAAGATTAGTATATTGAAAAAGGAAGAGAGATAAAAGTTCCTCATTCCTTTGCTACCCCTTTCCTTAGCCCATTGATGTCTTAGATGGAGAAACATAGATAAGCGTTGTGAAAAGGATGGGTGAGAAATGGGATATTGTGTGTTATGAGGTTAAGAAATGGTAATTTTCCCAAGGCTATCATAAATTTATTGTTGGATTCTATTAATATGGGCCTCTTACTGAAATAACTTTTCCTTTTTTCTCTTAGGAAGTTATCCTTAGCTGTTTGCTTAGCATTACTGACCAGGTACTACTTCCATCTCTTTCTTTGATGGACTGCAATGCTTGTATGTCTGAGGAACTATGGGGAATGTTTAAAACATTTCCATATCAGCATAGGTAAATACATATTATTTTCATTTTTTAAACTGCTAGTAATTCTAGTATACTAACCTCTAAGTGTTTTAACTTTTCCTAATTCTTCATCTCATCATTTTTTAAGATATCGTCTGTATGGCCAGTGGAAGAATGAAACTTATAACAGTCACCCACTTTTAGTAAAAGTTAAAGCTCAAACAATAGACAGAGCCAAATATATCATGAAGTAAGTTTTAATTTATTTATTTTTCATATTAATCTAATTTATTTCTGGGTCTAATTTACTTTCTTTCTGCTAGCTTCTCTGAGCCTCAGTTTTGAGAAAGCCTGTGTCTTGTGAATGGTATAGCTGATTTATATACTATAGACAGAATGACTATTAATTGTGGTTTTAGCTATATTTGATTACCAAGTTTTCATAGTTGTCATGTTTGCGTATGGATAAAAATCTAATGAAAATCCCTTTTAATGCATGCATCATATTATAGGATAAGAGTTTTGTGTTTTTTTTCTTTTTAAGGACAGCCTGCTGTGGCCTTTGTTCAATATGTTTAGTGATTTGTGCAAGGTAGTCAAAGTTCTAGCAATTTCTTCTGCTGAAAGTTACCATAATAATTTTTTTAGTCTGTTAGGAAGAACTAATGAAATGATGCAGAATTATCTCCATAGGGAGTCAACTTTTGAGAAATTTCTTTTTAAAAAATACTGTATGCTTTTATTTTCATATCATTAAAAATGAGTGATGTTCTACTTCCCAGTAGATTATTTGAAGTTTAATTATGAAAATCATATACTTCAGATTAGTATCAGTTTAGATGCTTAATTACACTGCTGTACTGAAAGTGTTTTCAACGAGGGTGATGTCAGTTGCCATTCCTTTTGTAAATTCATAGCAGTGGTATGGTTATTCTAATTAAAAGTGTTCGATTTCTAGTTTATTTAGATTTAACAGTGCGTAATGTCTGTTAAATGTTGTCTTTGCCCAGTGATAATGTTTCTGGTCACAGTCTACTGGGAAAACAGATGTGTGCATGATTACAATCTAGTTTTTTTTTTTTTTTTTTTTTTTTTTTTTTTTTTTTTTTTTTCTCTCCTGTGAGCCTATGGATTATATTAAAACAATCTAGTTTAATAGGTGCTGTTACATAGCATGAATAAAGTGCTATGGGAGGATAGATGAGAGTAAATGATTTTAGTTGGGGGAGTTTTGGCAGGAGATGATATTAGATATGAAAGAGTTTCTGGACTTAAGAGTTCTCCAGGTACAGTTTCTAGCTTAACAACAGTTAATATTTAGGGAGCTATTACTATATGTGCCAAGTATTAAACTAAGTGCTCTACATGGATTGTTTGATATTATATTTAAGCATTATTGAATCCCTTGAATCTGTCTCATCTACTGTCTCTACCACCACTATCTTAGTTCTTTTATCTGGTGTATTACAGTGATTTGTGTATTCTCTTACTAAAAATCATTTCATGACTGACTTTACCTGAAGGTTTATGTTAAGCTTTATGGCATAGTGATATATAAGAGGTCCTCCCTGATTTGTCCCTCCCTGCATCTAACCTCCTTTCCTGCCAATTCTGCTTCCAGATGTACTGAGTCTACTTATGTTTCCCTGACTGTACCACTGTTTCCTTAGCTTCTCTTCCCTTGTATGTACTTTTTGTTTCCTCTGTTTGTACAGGTTTTCCCTTGCCTTCCTTTCCCCCTTTCCATCTGGTGACCTCATTCTTGGAGAGTGAGCTCCAGTGTTACTTACAGTGAAGGCTTCCCTAGCATATACTGCCAAACACAATGGATCTTTATTTCTACCACTATTCTTTGTGCATATAATGTTATCATACCTGTAGGTACATTGCTACATTTCTATGATTATTTTTCTTTTTTTAGCTATCTAAAATTTTAATTAGTTTATATGTTTACATGGTTTAAATTTCAGTAAATAAGGTATACAATACATACAGCAGAAAGTCTCACCCCATCCTACATCTACTCAGTTCTTCCCCCACCCCGTAAAAAGTAACCACTATTTAGTCTCTTATATATCCTTCCAGCTATTTTTATGTATATATGTCAATACAAATGTATTATCTTCTTCTTCTTCTTCTTCTTTCTTCTTTCTTCTTTCATTTTAATATTGTTTTTTCCTTGTAAAGATGGGACCTCACTATGTTGCCCAGGCTGGTTTCAAACTCCTGGCCTCAAGTTATCCTTCCACCTTGATCTCCCAGTGTTTGGGTTACAGATATGAGCCACTACACCCCAGCCACCTTTTATTTATTTATTTTTGTTTGTTTGTTTATTTATTTATTTTAGAGATGTAGTCTCGCTTTGTCACCCAGGCTGGAGTCTAGTGGCACGATCTTGGCTTACTGCAACCTCCGCCTCGTGGATTCAAGCAGTTCTCTGCCTTAGCCTCCCAAGTAGCTGGGACTACAGG